TCTTCCTATCTCTTTCTCTGGTGGTCACTTTTATGGGTATCGGTGTGTGAGTACATTCTTGTTTTGTCCCTTGTGTGTGTCTTGTCGAGTTTTATTTTGGGCTGTTTGGTCAAGATGGCAGAGTGTGAGCCACATAACCAGACACCCTGAGAGGAAACATCATCCACGAACGGGACAGTAACACTCAAGACCCAACTACACCAAGAGAACCCAATATCCCAACAAGAGGCATCCCTAGAATACCTGGCCCAGAAGACCTGAGAGATTACACCACTGGGTCCCACAAAACATCTACTATATTAAGACAAACTCAAAAAAATTTGGGTGACATAGAAGTTTGATCTAATACACAGAAACAACCACAAAAGAACAGCAAAAATGGGGAGACATGCCGAAACCGGTTTGGCTTAGTGGATAGAGCGTCGGGCTGCGGACTGAAAGGTCCCAGGTTCGATTCCGGTCAAGGGCATGTACCTGGGTTGCGGGCACATCCCCAGTAGGAGATGTGCAGGAGGCGGCTGATCGATGTTTCTCTCTCATCGATGTTTCTAACTCTCTATCTCTCTCCCTTCCTCTCTGTAAAAACTCAATAAAATATATTAAAAAAAAAATGGGGAGACAAAGAAACAACCCCTTTATGAAAGAAAAGGTGGCATCACCAGAAAAGGAAATAAATGAAATGGAGGTAAGCAATTTGTCAGAGAAAGAATTCCGAGCAATGGTTATAAGGATGCTGAAAATGATGGAAGATCAATTCAACAACACATGTAAGAATCAAGATGAAATGAAGAATGACATAGCTGCAATAAAGAACACAATGGAAAGCATCAAGAGTAGACTAGAAGAAGCTGAGGACTGCATCAGCAAGTTAGAAGACAAGGTAAAAAATACAACCCTCAAGCAAAGCAGCAACCAGAAAAAAACAACACTTAAAAAGCAGGAGAGCTTAAGGGAGCTTTGGGACAATACAAAATGAAACAACATCTGCATAATTGGGGTACCAGAAGAAGAGGAAGTTGAGCAAGGAATAGAAAACCTGTTTGAAGAAATAATGACTGAAAACATCCCTGATTTGGGGAAGAAAAAACTCGCCGAAGTCCAGGAAGCACACAGAGTTCCAAACAAGATGAACCCAAAACGACTAACACCAAGACATATCAGAATTAAAATGGCAAACATCAATGACAAAGAATCTTAAAGGTTGCCACAGAGAGAGACAGAAAGTTACCTACGAGGATCTCCCATTATACTATCAATTGATTTCTCAACAGGAACACATCAGGCCAGAAGGGAATGGAATGAAATATACAGTCATGCAAAGCAAGGGACTGAATCCAAGAATACTATAAACAGCCAGGCTATCATTCGAAATTGAAGGTGAAATCAGGAGTGTCACAGACAAAAAAAGTCTAAAGGAGTTCATTACCATCAAGCCAGAAATGCAAGAAATGCTAAAAGGATTGCTGTAAAAAGAAATAGAAAGGGAAGAAGGAACACAGGCATAAAGAATAAAAATGGCAAAAACAAGTACCTACCAATAATATCCTTAAACACAAATGGATTAAATGCTCCAATCAAAAGACATAGGGTAGCTAAATGGATAAGAAAACATGACCCATGTATCTGCTGTCTACAAGAGACCCACCTCAGAACAAAGGACTCACATAGACTGATAGTGAAGGGATGGAAAAAAATTATTCAGGCAAATGGAAAAAAAAAAAGATGGGGCAGCAAATACTTATATCTTACAAAATAGACCTCAAAGTGAAGGCCATAACATGAGATAAGGAGGTCCACTTCATAATACTAAAGGGAGCAATTCAACAAGAGGACATAACTCTGATAAACATATACGCACCCAAAACAGGAGCACCCAAATACATAAAAAAAGTCTGGAAGATATCAAGGGAGAGATAGACAGCAATACAATCATAGTAGGGGACTTTAATACCCCAATGACATCAATGGATAAATCCTCTAGACAAAAAATCAGCAAAGAAACAGCAATCCTAAATGACTCACTAGATCAAATGGAATTAACTGACATCTTCAGAATATTTCACCCCAAAGCTTCAGAATATACATTCTTCTCAGGTGCACATGGGACATTTTCAAAGACAAACC